GCTTGGGCTTTGAGTATAGGCAGAAGGGGTACCCCACAGCCCCTTTCCCCTCCAGCTGCTGCACCACTCCAGTGCCTCCATCACACGGTTCCATTATCCTTTTCCAAACATCTTCAGCCATTCTCTCCCTCGTTGCTCTTCCTGCTCAACATAGTTTAAGTCAAAATTTCACATACATACAGAGTTTCCTCAGTCCCACTTCCTACCTGCTCCATTTGGCAGCTAGTATTAATAATTTTTAAGCAAAAACTGTTCAGTAAATGATCATCATCTGTGGCAGTTCCTCTCAGCTGTCTCCTACTCCCTTAGTCCCTTTCCTTACCTGCCTCCATGAAGAAACAGCAGCCTGGCTTTCTTATTTTGCTTTATTGTCTCACACCCACTCCTACTGAAAAGTCTTGGGAATACATAAAGGAACTCCGGTACATTTGTAATCCCAGCATTCTGAGAAGCTGAGGCAGGAGGATTGTAAATCTGAGCCCAGCCTGGGCAATGTAGTGATTTAGACTCAGGTAAAGGAAAAAAAAAAAAAAAAGAAAAAGGAAAGGAAAGGAAAGGCCAAGATGTAGCTCGGTGTGAAGATCTTGGATTCAATCCTCAATGCTGAAAAAAAAGTTAATCAATGTGTTGAAAATAATATAACAGAATTTAATTTTTAAAGCTCCAAGAAATCATTAGCTTTTCCATTTCAAGACAGTTTATAGGAAACTCACATGCTATGAGAATATCTTACTTTTCCCAACAGCATAATCCAATTCATCTGAACTGATGGAATTCAAACAAAATTGAGATATGATTCCTACAAATGTAGTTTTACACATTTTTTGGTCTGTCACTCTGTGCCTTAGAAATAGGACTTACCCTCCTTTGTATTAATTCTTGCTAACAAAGTATCCAGGAACTGTCCATTGTTTGCTTACACTTAAAAAAGTTTTAGGGACTTGTTGGGAACTGACAGCGTAAGCCAAGCTTGCTCTTAAAGGCTATTAATTCAAATGTTCTAACCACTGAATGTGGTTCAAGCTCTCAGATACTGAACAGAAACTTGTTTACTTCTTGAATAGGAAGGTTTTTTGTTGTTGTTGTTTGTTTGTTTTTAGGGTTGGTAACATCCAGAGGTCTATGCTTCTGTTTCCAACTTTGCTGTTTGTTGCAGAATTTTTATAATGCTGCTGCAAATCCTTGGTGGCATGCTGCTTTTTCACAGACACCTTCCCACAGCAGGGGAGGTGTAATACCTCCAAAATAAATCTCCGACTCAGGCAGGGTGCTTGTTATAGTGCCTGTGAGTCAGGAGATCTAAGAATCTATAGGAAGCAGAGAGGATGAGTTCTTATCAATAATTTTAATCCTTTTAAATGGTTTTTCTGTACTTTCTTCCTGGTGTGACTTTGGAGTCTAGAGCTTTCTCAACTGTTCTTATTCTTCTCTGGAAGCAATGGTTGTACTTGTCTAATCAGCGAGAACACCAGCAATTCTTTCATCAGAATCATAATCTTCAAGGGTTAAGGGCTTCTCTCTTTAGGGCAAGCAAATTCTTCTCAAACACATTTGGGAATCCATTTACTTTATCTGATTATGGGGCACAGAACAGAAAGCCTGATTTTGACTTGCATGCTCTCCTTTTCTTGAATCCTTTAGAAAGCTTTACTCATCCCGACACGTCCAGGGAGAGCTGAGCCCATACAGCATTTCTGAGGGGAGCCTTGAGAAGCACAGAGTGATGGAATGGGGTGAGGGGCAAAGAAAGGGGCAGAGGCTCAATCTGTGCCACCCCCGACTCCAGGAATCATCTCCAAATCGAGAAAATTGGTCAAGTTGTTTTATACTTGAGACAATCCAGTGAAATCCAAGTATTTACTTTCCCCATTTACTTGCCTTCTCAAGTACAAAATACTTTGGAGGAGATCATTTAAAACCTGCCAGAATATTTCTCCTTGATATTGGCTCCTGCTAACTCAATTTGAAATTGGTTATCTCAAGTTCTCCCTTTCTCATCTGCGAGGAACCCAGCCACATCTCTGCTTGCAGATGATAAAACTCAACCCCACGTCCATGCTAGATCTGCTTCTTCTAGACCAGGTCAAGAGGCTGGCTCAAAATGACAATGGTGACAACTGGGGCCACTGGAATTCTTCTGAAGGGTAATTCATTTGTTGTCTGGGGTCTGATGAGTCTCAAGGCCTCAGAGCTCTGGAAAGTCTTCAGTTTGGAAGGATCATGGAAATGTTCTCCAGCTCTTTGACATTAATCCCAAGGTTCAGCATATTACAGCGTCTGACACAACACAGATATATATATAATGCATATTTATAGAATGAGTGAATAAACAGACTGCCAGAGTGAACTAAACAAAATTAATAAACAGTAAGACATTTCTTTATGTTTTCTTTTAAACAATTTGATTTGAAAAATGGTGGCCGTTTCCTACAGCCTTTTTCCTTGATTCAGTCTACCCAAATAGATGAATAAAAGTCTCTGGCTCCCAAATCCTTTCACACCATCAGCAAAGTTGATCACTATGATGGCTGCCCATCTTCTTGTCCCTGTTAATTGGAACACGCCATGGATGTCTCTGAAAATGTGTTGAACACCATCACTATCTGAGGAATCTCCGCTTGCTGCATGTGACCATCGAGGAAACGCAATCAGCCTGTGAATGGCAGGAAGTGCCCCAGCTTGCTAATGTTCCCTCAGCTGCCAGATGGTGGAGGGACTCTTCTCTCTTCTAGTGGGCAATTGGCATTTGTGGAGTTTGCCTGTCAGTTATGCTACCCAGGAAGACCAAAAGAACAACAGGAGGATTGGAAGCAAGGACAAGGATCTCAGCCCTTCCCAAGAAAAGGCCATGAAGACTAGTGGTGCTGTGTACACGAATGACTTTCCTTCCTGTCTATACTCAGATGAGTCTGGCACTCCAGCCCCCAGCACCTTCCCTGGATTAGCACCCAGTAAGAACTTTGTAAACAGCACCATGGTGATTAAAGATAATTATTTATACTATTGCTATTAATGATATAATAACAGTCACAAGTAATAGTATTAATAATTTTAAATGTCAATTTAAAAAATACAAACTAAAGAGGCTTTTGGTTATTTTGCTATTATGAATGCGATGTATATTTTAAGTGGGCCCTATTTCCTATCATTTCAATCCTATGAATAACTGCCATACAGCAAGGTATTTACCATGCAAGGATGACCAACTGGACTACATTAATTAAATCTGGGTTAAATGAGGCTAATTACTTTGCATATGATTTTACTCCTTTTCTTTGCTAAGTTAGAATGTTTCCAAAATGAGTCTGCCTGCCTTCAGAATTCTGCAAATGATAATTTTAACTGTTTTCCATTACACTCTAGTTTAGTTTTCTGGTAAATGGCCTTTGATGAAACTTTAGTGTCCATAGAGTGGATATTGTTTTAAAACGTTAAGTGTTCTGTGATATCTAGGGTTCTGTTTCTCCACTTAAAATCACAGCAATATAGAATATTATTTCATCAAAAGTACTACAATTATTTCTTTACTTTCTTTAGTTCAAAGATTCTTCCAATCAAAATTCAAATTGTTCAACAATCACAATGTAGTTTTTATTCTTCAAGTGAATTTTAATTTTGCAAGGAACACATCTTCCACTGATGAAGAATGCAAGCTTTAACTAGGATCACCCAGGCAAAAGAGCTGAGCTTTAGGGAATGTACAATTGGAGCCATTGCTGTCTCATTCATAGTCACACCAGAACAACTAATTGGGAAGGATAGGAGTGGAGAAAAAAAGCAATGAGCCAGGACTAACTTCAGTTGCATATGGAATTTTCAGATATCAAAAAAAGAACCTTAAAATTGGTCATAATAAAAACAGTGTTATGGCTTATATCTAAATGCTCCCCAAAGCCTCATGGGTCATAGGTGGGGCTTTTCAGAGGTGGCTGGATCTAGAGTGTGTGATGCTGAGATTAAGGATGTGATGCTGGGATTGATTCATGGTATGATGCTAGGATTAAGGCTGCCCCACCATGGGTGTGAGTGCTACCTGCCCTAAGAGTAGGTAGCCTGGATGGAATATAAGGGACAGAAAGAGGGCTGTGACTGCCATCGCTTGCTGCTTGCTACTTGACTACTGGTTGTCCTTTGGCTGCCCTATTTTGCCATGGACTTTTTCTATTCTGTGATGTCCCTCTACCATGCCACCCTCCCTGGAGCCAGCCAACTATGGACTGAAACCTGTACAAACTGTAGGCTGAAACAAACATTTCTTTCTTTAACTTTGAGTGTCAGGTATTTTGTCTCAGCAATGAAAAAGTAACTAAAACACACAGTATGTCATAACATTGAAAAGACATTTTTATTGCCTAATAAAGACAAACCATAATCTTTTCTAAAGGTTTGATCTTAGGTAAGGTAAAGCCCAATTATTTTCAAGAAGTGTATCTTCAAAGTAAGAGATTATACTCTTAAAGCTTTAAAATTACTCATACACAGGTAACACAATCCCTGTCAAAGAAATATTTGCAGAAGGTTAGAAGCATTTTTATAAATTTTGTGAGAAGAGTTTGTGTCTTACTATTGTCTCGAAAATTATTTGGGTTGCTTTAGGATTCAAAAAATTAAAGGCATGAGAGTCAAAGAGAATAGCAGAAGCTGTAGTGGCAGCAGCAAAAACACAGCTGCAGCTACAGTTCCCATGACATCCAGGCTCTGGCGCTTCACAGCAGCAGGAGTGGCAGTGACCACCCAATGGCAGCCACCTCAGCTGAGGCTGTACCTTACGTTGAATGTAATTTTTCTATATAACATCATACTTATTCTTTCTTCTTTCAACCATAGAGGCATAGTAGAAAATATTATGAGAGAAATTTTCTACTTAATGACCTTCTTCCTCCTCTCCCTCCTCCTCCTCCTCTTTCTTCTTCCCTTATTCTCCTGCTGTTTCCTCCCCTTTTCCTTCTCCTCATTCTCCTTCTCTTTCTCCTCCTCCTCCTTCTCCTTCTTCATTACAGAGCTCAATGTTCTTGTGGAGCATGAGAAAAATGCTGTTATAGAAACAGGCTCTGATTTTGGCATCAAACATTTTCATGATGGAAAAATATACAAGGTACTATTTTTTTTATTATTACTATTGCCATTATGAATAATTATCATTTCATAGTTGTCTTAGTATTAAAATATATAACAATTTTCCTGCTCTTTGTCCTTTTTTAAAAAATGAAGACCTAACTTTCTTTTAGGATGACTTGAAAAATCTATGGCATGTGTGAAAATTCTAATGCTTAAAAAATAATCAGAATTGCTTCGTGGCTACCTAGCTAAACATGCAGTGAGCTTTGCTCAGCCTAAAATGTTAGCTTTCTTTAAAATCAAGTCTGATCAGTTGATCTGACTCCTGACCTATAGGGATATATGCTTATGGCTATGGATATGGGGGACATGTGGATATGGATATATGGATAGGTGGGATATGTTGGAATTGACAGTTCTCTTAGGCCATCATTATACTATTTTATGCACAATATTAAAGTGCATTTCTTCTTGATAAAACTGCCACCACTGTTTCTATCCCTGCCATGGTCAGCATCACCATAAACTTTACCATCATCATGGTCTATATGATAATTAAGGCAAATCTCTACCATTTTAAACCAGAATTCAGGAAAGTCCTGTTCTGTATCTTAAGTGCTATGGAAGAAGCTGACATTACAAGGTAGCTGGTATATGGATACTGTTGTGGGTTGAGTTGTGTCCCTCTTCACCTTCCAAATTCAGATGTTGAATACTTATCATCCCCTAACACCTCAGAATGTGACTTTATTTGTAGAAAGGATATTTATCAAGCTAAAACAAAGTTCTTAGGGCAGGCTCTATCCCAATAGGACTGACTTGTGCTTATATAAAAAGGGAACACTTGGAAACAAAGACATCTACAGTGAGAATACCATGTGAACACGAAGCCCTCAGAAGGAACCACACTGCTAACATCTTGATTTGGGGCATGTAGTCCCAGAACTGTGAGCCAACACACCTCTGTTGGTTAAGCCACTCATTGCATGGCACTTTCTTGTGATAGCTCCAGTAAACTAATACAGGTACCAAATGAAAGATTGTGAATATCTCCTCAGGGTGTGGGCTCTGGTGAAAAGTCATAAAGATGAGCTGCACATAGGCTATGAAAAGGTTTCCACCTGCTTCTCCAGTCAGCTTCTCTTGGCACCTTAACAGGAAGAGCTGATCACCAGGACTGTCTTAGTCTCAGGTGCCAAGTGTTTGACAGCTGTAAATGTTGTCATTGTCCATGCCAACAAAAGCCATTTTAAGGTATTATGATTACACATTGTTGGCTTGTTTTCTGAGCCTCCCTAATTGAAGTACATGAAAGCACATTGTTTCTGAGTCCTTGCATTTAGGATGGACTAGCTCAAATAGGATACAATTTCAAGGGATAAATGTAAAGTCATTTCTTAGTTGAACAAGTTTACTGTATGGGTATAAGGTAAAAGAGATTGGTTGAACATTTCCTTTCAAACAGACATAGAATAGGAGTTTTAACTGAATTTATTATAAACCAATGAGATAGTGGTGCCCAGAAAGCTAAGAAATCTTTAATTCCCATAAAGCATTAAGGCATGTCCCCTCAGGCGTTAGCAGTTCTGCCTCATGCTGCATTAGTATGTCTACTCCAATCAGCCTCTAAAATGATCTCGATACAAGACAATGCCACCTAGATCCAAGTCTAAGATGTCATCTCACCAAGCTATGATCAATCTTTAAAGCAGAAACCAGATTTTAGATTTTAAAAATGCTCACTGAGACAGTCAAGTTCCAACTAAATGTACCTACTGAGGCAAGCTCCACACTAAGCTCCTTAAAACAGTAGTTCTCAAAGTGTGGCCCCTGGATAAGCTGCATGAGTATCACTTAGGCACCTTTCAGAAACTCAGATTTTCTGACCCTACTACTCCAGAGGCTCCAAAGGTGGAGTCTAGCCATCTGATTTTAGCAAACCCTCCTGGTGATTCTGATGCATGCTTAAGTTTGAGAGAATCTTTGGTGTAGTAGATCTGGGATAAGGTCCAAGATGTGCATTACTAAATGATACCTAGGTGATGCTGATGCTTCAGGTTGGAGACCAAACTTTGAGAACTACAAAGATGAGGACATAGCAGGATGTTGAAGTAGCAGCTGAGAGAAAACAAGCAGGGAGATGCAAATTTTGACAATAAAGACAGAAAAATAAATCAAGCTATTAATTAAGCAAGCCACTATAGTCTTGAGATAAAAAGGTGGGATATGACTGGATGTGATTTGTGCAAACAAAGGTGGAGACAGATTTGACTGACAGCTGACCCTAAACTTCATTATACTTTCATTATAATGCATTTCATAATAAAATCTCCATGCAGAGCGGGGAATACAACACATTTCTAAGCACATTTAGGGCAATGTGTAAATTCATGCCTGTTCAGTAACTAAAACTACTCTGTTTTGAGAACCTGGCTCCTCTTAGAAAAAATCATGAATAATGAATGGCATTCTTTTGAGTGAAATGTATCCCTTGTTGGGCAGGTTCTGTCTGTCATGCGGCCAAGTTCTCTGACTCTTTCTTGGCCAAATGAGCTTGTGCCAGCTTTGTAGCTGGACAAAGTGCTGAGGCCCAGCTTTGCCATGTTCAGTAACTTGCTGCTTGGGCAGCTGACCTATGAGGCTTAGCTTCCTTATCTGTAACATAGGCCTGAAAATCATCCCAGCCTTACATGGCCACTGCTATGATCTAAGGGGAAGGATTTGAATGAGCGCTGGAGCGAGTAATGGAGAGCAAAAAGTTAACAGGACTAAACAAACAAAATCCTTACAAAGCACTGAGCTTAGGTGAATGAAAGTATGATGCTACCTAGGACCACCAAGAAGACTTCATGATGAGGAAAGTAACTGGGTTTCCTAATTAGAAAAGCTATTTCAAACCATTTAGATTTCCCATTCGATGACAAATAGAACTGTCACAGATTAATAGATTAATACAATTTATTCATGTTCCTAGTTGGCTCAAGAATTATCTTCTGAGACAGCTGGAGTAGGATCTTTGTTGTGATAATATTTTGGTTCTGGGAAGAGAATTTACATGGTTTAACATTTTATTGGCATTTAGGGGCTTTAAAATAAATTTAAACTCGTATGGTGTGATTAGTGTTTTAATTGTTATTATTTTATGAAGTTTGTGGTATTCAGTTGCCTTTATAGCCACGAAGAGAGTATTCATTCCTACTGATGTTTAAACACAAGAATCCCCAAAGACCTAAATAATTTTCAAAATGTTCTTTGCTTCTAGGACCCGCATTGCTGAGTGGAGTAATCTGGACCACACGTCTGAGGGGAAGGTAGAAACCACTGATGCTCACAGGTGTTCCTATCCGAAAACAAACGGCTCTGCATGAAGGTCTAATTCACCCAAAGACCACTGTAATAAATTTATCTTATTCTTACTTAAGTTTATTTTGTCTTTACAATTATCTTTTATTGAGAAATCACAAAATATACTTGAATTGAATATCTGATAATATGAAAATAATATTGTTCCATCTATTTAGAGCTTTCTAAAGTGCCCTTTTTGAGACTTGGAAAAGAATAGCCTTAAGTAAGCATGTCAAATCAGATCAAATTTGAATTTGAACACTAATTATGTGCCGAGTACTGTGCTGAGCTTGGGGGCTGGGGGCTAAGTGAGTGGTTATCCATCACCTTCAGGGGCTTTTTGGAATGAGCAGAAACTGAGAGATGAAAAGACGATCTAGTTCTCCTCACTCCCTAGCTCTCTATCACCCCAACTTGGCTTCCTTAACTCACTTTTTAGGCTCATTTCTGTCTGAGGCAGTGGAACCAATCCTTACCAGACACGAAGCCTAAGGTTTTGAGATCACCAGCACTCTGGCGTGAAATTCAGCCAGTATTGCTACTCCATTATCATATCGGCATTGTTACATTTTTCAGTCTGACCTGCTTTGTTAGTATTCCCAGTGCTATGTTCCACCCCATAAGCCATCCTTCTTATAATTAATTTTCTGATTTTTTTTCCTCAGGAGTTGGGTTTCCCCCCTCTTCAAGGGACTGAATCTCTCATACCTGCTGTTTGAAATTCTACCCCTTTTCATCTTTAAAATTTTTCTTGGTAAAATTCCATTAATTTTCTGGCTCATTTCTACTGAGGTGGTCAGTTGACGATGTTGATCCTATACCTTATAGTACTTATCCCAGACTACAATGAAGTCTCTACAACCTGGACTCATGTCCCTGGATATGTTAGTCAGCTTTCTGTTACTGTAACAAAATATCAGAAATAATAAACTTATAAAGAGAGTTGCTGGGCATAGTGGCACGTGACCATAACCCCAGCACTCTGAGAGACTGAGGACAGAGGACCTCAAATTTGAGCTCAGCCTAGGCAATTTAAGGACTTAGTGAAACTTTGTCTAAAACTAATAAAGAGAGGAGAGGAGGGTATGATGTAGCTTATTAGAAAGGCCCTGGGTTCAATCTCTGGTACGGCCAAAAAAAAAAAAAGTTTATTCACAGTTTTGGAGATTTCAGTGTACAGCTGATGGTTGATTAGCTCCACTGTTTTGGGGTCTGTGGCAGTACATCAAGGGGAGTTTAGGGTCCAGCAAAGTCATTCATCTTATGGCCAGAAAGTTTAAAAAAAAAAAAAAAAAAGAGGAAGCAGAGGAGGCTAGGGTCCTACTGCTCCTTGAAGGCCACACTCTCAATGACCTGAAGACCTTCTGCTAGGCCCTGTCTCTTAAAGGTTCCACCTCATCCCAATAATTTCAAGCTGGAGACCAAGACTTTAACACATGGGACTTTGGGGGGACATTCTAGATCGAAACGATAGCATCATAGTTCAACTCCACTGAGCAAAATACCTGATCTCTTAATGCTGGGTAGTGACAGGTACTAGGGATCAAACAGTGCTCCAGAGAGATCATCTCTGCTATCAAGGAGCATACAGACTCATGAGAAAACAAACACTATTGTCATCCTCACTGCTTCTCTCTCCTCCATTCCCCTCACACTACATCTGCCAGTCTTTCCAGCTCTACATACAGATATTTGCCAGTGTTCCACATCGTATTTACATTTTTAAAAATAAATTTAAGTAGGCTGGGGATGTAGCTCAGTGGTGCCTGGCAAGCACAAGGTCTTGAGTTCAATCCTTGGTTCCACAAATTAAAAAAAAAAAAGGGGACAGAATATATTATTTATCAGCCTCCATGTTCACATTCCCACCATAGTCTCAGTTACCTTGAACTTTCATGGAAATACTAGGAAATAATAAAAGTATTTAACAACTGATAATGACACAGCATGACACCAAATAATTAGAAACTGCATCAAGTTCACAAATGCTGGCCGTAAAGAAGCCAGACAGCAGACCCAGTACTTGCCAGAGGAGTATCAGCCTCACAGCTGAATTCCAATAGTTTACCTGGTCTCTTTTGAGAGCCCCTTGTATTAGCTTTCCCCATATCCAACACAACTTGAAGGAGGAAAGGTTTAATTTAGCTCATAGCATGGGGAGATTCAGTTCATAGTGAGTGGCCTCCAAAGCAGAACATCACGGTGAAAGGGCATAGTGGAGGAAAGCTGCTTCATAGTAGTCAGAGAGCAGAGCAGGGGAACAGAACCAGTCAGGCACAGGCAAGGGACCAGACCTAATACCCAAGGTCATGCTTCCATGACCCACAGGGGCACACCCAGGAGCATGCTCTGCTACGCTTCTCAGAACATACCAGGATTAATGGTCATGCTCCTCTATAATCCATCTTCCATGAACCACTCAGAATAACCCACAAAAAATATAAATTAGATCAAGTTATTCCCTGATGAAAACTTTTCAAAGGTTTCTTCCCCCCGTCTGTCTTAGAATGAAACCCTCATCCTTACAACTGGCAACAAACAACACTCTGTGCGACCAGCTACGGCTCTCCTCGTCAGCGCTCTATCACTTGCTCACGCTTCTGCCACATAACGAGCCTCTTTCTGCCTCTAGCACAAGCCAGTCTCATTCTCAGTCTCAGTGCCTGGGCATTCTGTGTTCTCTCTGCGTGACTCACCTCTTCTCAGTTTCTGAGTTTCAGCTCAAACACTAGCGATGTATTCTACAGCAGCCACCTCCTACTCAAATCCCATCACAGTGCTAATCACTATGTGAAAATATTGTATTTCTATACTAGTTAACAAGATTATAAACTGCATGGGCCATCTTAACTGTGTGGTTCACTGTCAAACTTTAGAACATCATATGTCACTTTCAACAGATTAAATAGCTCCTTAAAAATTCGTGTTGGATTAACTAATATAAACATACAGTTACAATACAGTGTAATAAACATGTAATAAAGTGAAGCTTAAAGGGGTGATGAGAAAAAGAGAAGTCCACCCTACTCAATTTGGGAGAATTGTACACACAACTCAGAGGAAGTGACTTGAGGTAAGTGATAAATAATCATCGTCATCATCACCATCATTATCACCAATTATTAAGTGCTTATTGATGTGCCAAAAGTGATATTAAGCACTTTAATTTATTTTTCTTGTGTAGTCATCATAGCACTTCTATAAGGAAATATCATTCAGTTCTGCAGAAGTGAGAGCTGAGATCTGCAAACATTAACATTACCAGTGGCCCCAAAGCCTAAGTGCCATGGACTCAGACTGCACACAGAAGAGGTGGGAAAGGACACTGTCAGGGAGAGGAAATAGCATGTAGAAAAGCATGGAGGACTGAAAAAAAAAGTGCTGTTGGAGAACTGTAAATAATTCCAGAATAACACATTCCTGATCGCACAACTATGATGAAATAATCCATTTGAAATCCCAGCCCTTTTCATCCTTAAAATTTTCCTTGGTAAAATTCCATTCTGCCTCATTTCTACTGAGGTGGTCATCTGAGATGCTGATCCTATATTTAGATGATATGTAAAGGGCTTGGCTTTTGTGTTTTCTCACCTCATAGTACTTATCCCAGACTAAACTGAAGTCCATTCCCTGGAGTCATGTCCCTGAATATGTTAGTGAGCTTTTGTTACTGTAACAAGATACCTGAGATAATAAACTTGTAAAGAGAGTTGCTGGGCATAATGGCACATGCCTGTAACCCCAGTCTCCTTCAGCAGTTCCTAGATTCTTAATTTTTCTGTTCCTAAATCTGTCTTACTGCTACTCAGACCTACTTTTGACAGAACTTTTAATTTTATATATTCACATCCTGAACATAACAAGACTGTTTGACATGCTCGTGAATAGCACTCCTCTTCTGTGGACACTGATGTACTGTAATTAGATGTAACTGATGTATTTAATAGAAAAAAGGCATGGGAGAAAGCTCTGTTTATGACAGAGAGTCCTTCCTACCCCTAAATCATGCTCAGACTTACAGAAAAGTAGCATCTTATTCTATTCTTGTTGTTGCTGCTGCTGTTGTTATAAGAAACACCTGACACTGAGTAACTTATAGAGGCTCCTTTGGCTTGTAATTCTGGTGACTAGAAGGTCCAAACAGCATGGCACCTGCATCAAGATAAGGGCTCCTCTGACTGCATCAAACATGATACAGAAATGGAAAGGAAACCAGCTGCGTGCAGAAGGGGGCAGACACATGGACTGGCCTCAATTTGTACTGTTTGCTGTTCTGAGAACTCTCCCTGAGGCCAGCATTGATCCCTTCTGAGGGTAATGCTCTGTGACCTAATTACCTTGTTGTAGGCGTCAGCTCCTAAAGATTCTACCACCTCCACACTGCCACAGTGGGGACCACACTTCTAGCACGTAATCCTTTGTGAGACAAATCATATCCAAGCATAGCAGTTACCTCTGCCTAAGAATATGTCAAGGAGTGCCAGGGCTCCTTCCTGGTTCACCATCTGCGAGAACAAACTAAGCCACATCTTTATTTTCTTCACATTTAAAAGTTACAAAATGTGTAACACATGCAAAATAAGATAAATGAGTATGTTATGAAGGATAACAATGGAGAAAATACCATAAAATGAATTACCAATAGCTTTTGTGCATGCACCTTCTATAGATCCTATCACCCTAACTTCCAACCCTGACCAAGAACTATAATGATTTATTTTTGTCTGTCATCCCTGTTTTAATCACTTTGTCATTGTTAAGAGACAATACCCAACAGCCACAACTTAACCGAGGAGAGGTTTATTCTGGCTCACAGAATCAGAAGTTTCAGTCCACAGAGCCAGCAGGCTCCAAGCCAGAACTGTCATGGAGGAAAGGCCTGCCTTAGAGGAAAGCTTCCCACACCGCGGTGGCCAGGAAGTAGAGAGCAAAAAGCAAAGGGAGAAGCCAAGTGGAAGATATACCTTGCCAGGTCAGGCCTAAGGGACCGGCGTTTTCTGACCAGCCTGCAATCTGCCACGTGTACACTCACATGCTGAACTTGCTGCTGGAGGGGTACAGTATCCTCAAGATCCAGCCACCTTCCAAAAGCCCTGCCTCTGAGCACTTAAGAGTTTTAGGGGTCATTCTTTTCTACAGCATAACAACCCTCTCGCTTTTCTGTATGATTTTACCCATATGTAAGTATCAGTTATTTATGGTTTGAGATTTTATTTAAATGGCATTATATTGTTTATATTCTTCTATGAGTTGGTTTTTCTAGTCATGTTTCTAAGATTCATCCACATTAGTGCCCATGGCTTTAATCTATTTATTTTCATTTCTGTAGAGCATTCCATTTATGAATTTATCACAATTTATCTACGCTTAATTAATGGGTATTTAAATTGTCCAAGTTTTTTTGCTATTACAAACACAAGTGCTGTCATGCAAAAGAGTTTGATGCACACTCTTGAGTGCAGATAAGAAATAGAATTTATTAGGGAAAAAACTTACAATTGGACATTTTTCAACTCTTGTTATACCACAGTTTAGGCCAAGGACAGCTGTATGCACCTTCCATGGCCAACATTCAAGTACAGAGGGAACCCTGACTCTATTCTCTATATATTTAGGAACACTACACAATGCTGTAAACACCCAAAGGAGCTTTATTAAAGGGAAGTCTGCAGATGTCATCAGCTCTTATCAGTTGACCTAATTCAGAACTGCTGAGCCAGTTCTCTGCCAAGATTTTTTAAAAAGTGGGAAGGAACCTATGGATCCATCCAGCTCTCTCCTCAGTACTAAGTATATATTTGTGCAGGTCTATTAAGACAACTGTGCAAGAGATTCTCTAATCTAGAAGTGAAATTTCTCAGCCTGGAATTGTGTGAATCTTCAAATTTACAAGATAATGCCCTCTTGTTTTCCAAAGTGGTCATCCAAATTTACATTCTTACCAACAATATATAGTTTCTAATTGCTCTCGGAAGGTTTTAGACATTCGTGTAAACTTAGAAAATCTTGTTAAATTTCTTCCTTAAGTCCTTTTGGGATTTTGATTGAAATTACTTTCAATTGTCAAATCTTTTTGGAGAGAATGGGTATTTTTAGGAAATTGAGTCTCTTTATAATATCTTCTAAAAAATGAATATAGGTCTTCTTTATTATCTTTGCATAGGTTTTAGAATTTTCTCCATAAACATTTTACACATATAAACACATATTATATGGCATTTGTTTCTAAGATCCACATATATATTTAGTTGCTCTTATAAACAGTATCTTAAAAAAATTAATTTCATCTGTTTGTAGTGCAAGTGATTTAAGTTAATATCTAACACTCTTACTAAACAATCATTTCTAATAATTTACTGGAGATTCTCTCCTTTGAAAGGGGCTCACAAAATTGGCATGATTTCATAACTTTTCATAGGTCCTCAAAAGGGGCCGAAAATTCCCCAAATGATTAAGAACTCATGATTTAAGTGGAGAAAAGTTTTTGAAAAGATGAAAAAGTGATGACAACAACAACAAACCCTGAATTTTTCCTCAAATCATATGCCATAACCACCTGAAACAGAATTACCTGGGGCTCTTGTTTTAAATTCATATTTCTGGACCCCATTTCACTCAGCCAGTGAACAAGACTCCCTGCATCAGGGCCTATGACTATGCAATTTAAGCTTTGCATGACTTATTAAGATTGAAGTTTAAAAACCATAAAATTGTTGGATGTATTAAAGAAGGGAAAGTTTAAAGTCCATGAACAAAAAGGTGATTTCCAGAGGCCACATGAAATAATTTGAGCAAATTAGTGTCATGCTATAATAATTCTTAGCTGTGAATATAATTGAGTCCTGTGATTTCTAGTCCATCATTAAGCCTGGGGATGATCTTGGGATCCCGACACAGCTAATTGTATGTTTTCTTTTCTATTACAGGTTATAGTGTGATCCTGTGGGAAAACGAGGAAATCTGAGTGTGATTTCTATATAGCTATTGATAACTAAGCTACCTACAGGTTCAAAGCAATTTTACTGGAAATACTGAAGTCCCTTCCCCACTACATACACAATTCCATACTCCACAGAAAACACAGCTTGGGGCTGTGTCAAACCTCTCTAGCTACAAGCTACAGAGAGTCTGGACTGTTTGTGCCCTTGGAGGAGTTTCCAGTCTAAGAAAAAATTCAAGCCAAATGAGAATATTTTGTTTACTCACACGAAGAGAAGAAAGAATAAAAGTTAAATTAGACAGTTAAAACGTATTTAATTAACAGAGTTACAGTTCTTCAAATCTTGCTCCGGTAATATGGATTCAAAAGTAACAAAAGGGTAGTTAAATCTCCCTCATCTCATTTTCTCCCTCCAAGGGACCTATTTCCTTCTCTTCAGAGGCAAACATCTTTACTTTGTTCTTGTACAACTTTACAGAAAACTTAGGCAGATAAGAGCATATGTAATACTTACGCACATACAAGCTTGTGGGAATTCCTCATTTGGGTAGCACGGAGAAAAGAATTAGAGGCCTAAGACTGCTACCTTTACAAAACCCTGTTTCTGAGGCTGGCCCTTTCTTGGTATCTGGGAATGTGAATTTGGGAGTTCGTAGCATTCTGAGTCTCTAATGGACTTTTGTGGTAAAAACCCTTCACATATATTGTCACAATTTGATGCTAGAGTAATTAAGCATATCCTGTGTGATTCCATGTGTAGTGAACTTTTAGAAGCCTTTTCCCCTTTGTTAATTTTGCTTTGTATCCTTCTAGTATAATAATTCTTAGCTGTGAATAGAGTTGAGTCCTATGATTTCTAGACCATCACTAAACCTGTGGATGACCTTGGAGATTCCTCACACAGCTAGTTATGTTTTCTTTTCTGTTATAGATTATAGTCTGACTCTGTGGGAATCAGGAGGCTTTCTTCTTGTTAAAAAACAAACAGATTCAGTAAAACTATATTAAGAACATACTTTACGGATTTATCAATCAGTCTTAGTCCTTCAACAACATTATTCTGTATTTCATCAATAAAAAATGTTTTCAGGGACTTTCATCATGACTATCTGTTCACTCTGGAGAGAAGATGGCTATTGATAAGTGGCCATCTGGGACATTACAAATTTTCCAACATAATTTAATCTGGATTAGATGTCCCCTGATGCTCAAGCTATCATAAGATTTAATACCATTTATGGGGATTTTCATTTTCTTTCCTGTTTTTAGATTCCCTGTTTCTTGTATCCTTTATGTTTATCCTTCAGTTTATCTCCTTATTTTGTGAAATTAATCTGTAGTAGCTTCTTGAGAGGTGTACAATAGGTAATTATTTTAAAATTTTGTACATCTGAAAATATATTTATTCTACATTCCCACTTGATTGATAATTTGGTAGAATTTTAAGTAGAAATCAGTCTCTTTAGAATTTCAGGTTCTTGCTCCTTGGTGTTTTTTTCCTCTGTAGGCTTTTAGAATTTACTGACTTTTTATTCTGAAAACTTACATCCTTCAGTCTTGGAGTCTTTGAGAATTACCTTTTTCTTCCCATTTGTACTTCTCTGCTTCCCGATTGAACTAATCTTCCAATTTTATCCTTTTCCCTGCACATTGCTCTGTTATCTTCTGTTGATTTTTCATTTCCACTATTTTCCTTCTTGTTTCCAAGCACTCTTACCTCCCTCCTCCATCCCCTTTTTGATTGTATCCTGTTGTGACTTCATCTTCTCCTACCTTTCTTGGGAGATTATGGGTTTTCATAAGTGTTTCCCCTGGTTTATCAGTGTCCTCCATATTTCATTTTCTGTGTTTCAGCCTCTTCCTTCTACATTATTGGTTTCTCTTGGCTGCTGTTTACGATCAAAAGTAAAAAATAAGTAAAAAGAGAGGAAGTTCTGAGTGGATTGCCAGTCTCTTTGACTAAATTTCACCAGCGTGGTCTGGCTGCATGGTTTATGCAGAAAAATCTGGTGGCACCAGAATTAGTGATGAGTGTTTGGACCTTATACAGTACCTAAAACGGGAACAAGTCCGAGTTTGTGCCAACTGTGAACTGAACCCCCCACCTTATCCCTCACTATGCTAATCAATATTTAATTAACCCAAGAGGTCGACCTCTGTGTACCTTTTAGGTACTGTATAAGGTCCAAACTCCCAACTTCAGGCTAGATTGGAGGGACAGATGCCCAGCGACATGAACCTGGAGAAAGGTTCTAGCAATCCTACCTCCCCTTATTTTTGATTTGCCTCTCATATTATGCCTTCCAGCTTCCAACATTTTGTGTCAGTCATCTTCACGTCCTCGTTAGTTTAGGTTTTTCGTCGAGGTTCAGCAACGGAGGAAACGATATTGGATGCTTGTTTTCATACCACCATTTTAACTCAGAACAGATACTCCTATGGTAGAAAGCGTTCTGGCAACTCCAACCTTGCTGCTCAGTCATCCATTCCAAAGACACCTCACTTTTCCATTTTGGGGGCTACCTCTGCCTTCAGGCCCCACAAGGAGTATACAAAGACACGAAGCAGAGCCGAAGAGAAAACAAATAGCTGGGGGTACGCAGCCGAGGCCGGTTGGGGAGATGCGACCGCGACCTCCCAACGCCACCCGCTTCAGCCGGGGGCCGAACGCCGCCCCGTCCCCGATAACAGGCCCCGCCCCTGTCTCCGCCCGCCGGAGGAGCGCGCTCCCGCCGCCCTCCAGCATGTCTGCGCTGTACCTCGGACGCTGCGCTCCGCGTCCCGCCCCGAGGATCGCCCTGCAGCCGCTGGGGCTGTTGGCCTTGCTGGCGCTGTGCCTGGCGGCCTGGGCTGACTGTCCTTGCCGAGAACCTGAGCTCTGCCGCCAGATCCGACACCGCCCGGACTTCGAGGTCAGAGCCTCTCCCCTGCCATTGCGGGTCTGGTCCTCAAGGCTGAAAGAGAAGTTAGAGTGGAACCGAGCCCTAAAGACAGAGGAAGGGTTGCTACACCAACTGTGACCACTTGCCCAGGGCCTTCCTGTTTACAGATTTCCTTCAGTTTGTAGATGGGGAAACTACCAGCGTGGAGAGGTTGAGTAACTCCTCCCACGCCTCTCAGGCTAAAGTGCCTGCCTCTGCTGGCAAGATTCAAACCCACCTCTGTCTCTGAAGGCCAGCTCCTGTCTTTATCCTGCCCTGCCTCCTCTCCAGGAGCAATCTGGGTGTAAAACCCAAAGAAGGTGGGATAATCCATTTCTTGGTTTCCAAGAGAATGAGGATTTTGTGTGGAAGAGGCAGAGAATGTTTTGTTTACCTTTTAAAAAGTGTGACTAACTAGTAGCCCTTTCCTTTATGGCGCCCGAGAACCACCAAGAAAGGTGGTAAAAATAGGTCTTTCAGTCAATTTTCCTTCTAAACTAACAGTTTGTAAGGCTTCTGGCAGTTTAACCAAAACAACCCTTTTGAAGCTATATTAAAGCCACCCAACTGAAGTTTGATAACTGCAGCGGGAATTGGATGGTCAGGGAGGTCAGGTTTAGTCCACAAAACAATTCTTTTGTAGAAATGGGAACAATTCCTAGTTCTTTTTTGGGGGGGGGGGTACCAGGGATGGGACTCGGGTCCTTGCGCTTGAAAGGCAGGCGGCAGAACCACTGCGCTAAATCCCCGGCCCCTCCGCTAAATCCCCGGCCCCTCCTAGTTCTTAACGTAGATTAATTTGGAGGAAGGGCTCACAAATGTATATACACATTGTTTAGGAGAAGAAATAAAAGGGGTGAGAGTTCTGGTAACCCTGCTCAGTGTGGAAATCTGCATTTTAAAAACTTTGGACCAATAAAAGTTTATCTGAGGAAAGAACAGTTCATGATAACGGGCATGACTCAAATCATAAGCAACTCATAGAGATCCAAACAGTAGTGGGGTTCTACAGACTGAACATGAAAGCAAAGAAAGTGATTGGCTGTGATTAGGTGTTTGACGCATTTGGTTAAGAACTGGAGGAAAGTCCCTGCTAGAGGTTCGTTGGTGGTTTCTGATTGGTTGAGTTTTATCTTGACGTTTACATTGGGTTACACTTTGGTTAAGTAGGAATCCAAGGCACTGGAGCTGTTTCAGCCTAATGGTCTCTTAAATTTTTTTTTTAACTGTCTGAAAGATTTATTGTAGCATCCAGTACTTGGTGGATTATATAATATTTGTGGGCATTTTGAAAAATACAGTGAAAGAATTATGTTTATATTTGTATGGTCACTGTAAATAAGTCCTCTTCTCTACTAGCTTTTTCTGTATTTTAAAAATATAGATATATGTGTATATATTGTATATATCATATTTATCTTAAATGCTGGGGATCAAGCCCGAGGCCTCATGCATGCTAAGAACCTGCACTACTGCTAAGCCACAGCCCTAGCTCATTCCCTTGTGTTTTCAATGGGATCTCACAAGGTCTCTATTTTTTTTTAAAGTAAGTTCGGTCTTAATTATTAGAGTTAAAATTGAGACAAAAAAATGTGAATCCAAAGGTTAATGGGCCATTCCATTCTCATTCTGTAGTTATTATTATTTATTTGTTTATTTATTTATTTATTTTTGAGACAGGGTCTGTCTAAATGGTTAAGTTGCCCAGGCTGGGCTTAAACTTGGGGTCCTTCTGCCTTAGCTTCCCAGAGTGCTAGAATTACAGCCATGCACCACTGCACATTGAATTTTTATTATTTCACTGGGAAGTTGAAATTTAAAAAGTAAAACAAAAAGGGGGAGACTGAAAAAGGTTAAGAAATATTTTTTAGTGCACCTACTGCTCCTCTCCAATCCAATCTCCTCAAAGTAGTCCAAAGATTTAAACTCCAATGAATTTCCATTATTGAGGATAAAATTCAAAATCCTCAGTGGTATACAAAGCACTTCTTCTACCTTAACTCCTTTTATGAGATTCCACACACTTTCAGGATTTCTGTGCTGAAGCTACTTCAGTCCTAGAATCAGAATTCTCCTGAGGTGTGGGGAACTTTGGGTTTTTGTTCCTTCCCCTGAGAATGTTCTTTTTTGCCATTGGTACTCTCCTCCTTTGTCATACAGAGTTTATTCATGCCCTAAGGTATAATCCTCAGGGAAATTTTCCTGCCCCACCTGCCTAGTCAGTCCCTATGGCACCTCACATTCCCTTACAACCTTTACTACTATTGCAATTAATAACTCTCTGGGGACTTGGTCTCTCTTGTTAATCTCTATGTCCCTAGAGCCTAGCAAAATACCCTCCCTAGCTGGATATGGTGGTAATGCCTGTAATCACAGCTACTATGAGACTGATGTGGGAGGGTCAAAAGTTCCAGACCAAGTTGGCTAACTTTGCAAGACTCTGCCTCAAAAACAACAACAACCCCCCAAATCCTCCAAAACATGTAAAAGGATTGGGCATGTAGCTTGGTGTTCCCTGGGTTCAATCCCTGCACAGGGTAGGAAGAGAAGAAGGGAGGAAAGGAAGGAAGGAGGGAGGGAGGAAGGGGAAAGAAAAAAGAACCTTGAACCCTCCCTATACTTTACTGGAATTCAGTAAATATTTTCTGAGTCAATTAGTACCTTGGAATAAAAGAAACCTGATGAGTGAGACTTCTGTGAGAAAAAAAATGCTGGAGAGACATTAACATTGGCTGCTTTAGAGTTTGACTTGAATACTAAGAAGTCCACACTACTAAAAAACATTCATAGTACCTAATGCAGTATCTAGAGCTCCATCTACAGCAGCCAGAAACTTACCAAACTCTTTTTCTTGCCTTGTTCATTCAGTTAGTCACAGTCCTGTAAATTTTGCCTCCCTAGAATCTCCAGATCTGTGTACTTCACTCACTTAACTGCAGTGCTCCATAGTTTTAGTTGAGGTCACCATCATCTCTTGCCTGGATTCATCCAACAACTTCCCTATTCTTCCAGTTTTGGCCCCTCTTTTTCCCACTTAAGCTGAAAGGATTTTTCTAAGATGCACACCTTCTTTTAAAAAACATTTTTATGTTGGAAAGTACCCCGCTATCCTAACAAATAAAATGCTAAAAAACTGAAAAAAAGGTTTTTATTTTATTCCCTTCCTTCAAGATATAGTACTAACTTCACAAGAGGTCCCAAGGCTCATGGGGTTATAACTACTACTTACCACTCCCTGACTCTTTCTGCTTTCTGAATTCTAGGGATCAGCCATACCAAATATTCAATTATACAACCACCACGTTCTCTCTGCCTCCAGGACCTGGCACTTTCCCACTGTCTCTTCCTGGCCCATCCTTGTCTCTTTCCTGGCCTGGTCCATTATCCCTGCCACCAACCAATTGCATGAGGACCCCATGTCTTTCAGCCTTGAACTGTCAGAGCCCATCCATCTGGATGGTCAGCATAATATTCTTGGTTTACATGATGATGCTTATCCCGATTATTCTGGCAGGTCTTTGTATTTAATGTTGGACAGAAAACTTGGAAATCTTATGACTGGTCACAGATTACAACTGTGGCAGCTTTTGGAAAATATGACTCAGAACTCATGTGCTACGCTCACTCAAAAGGAGCCAGAGTCATGCTAAAAGGTATTTTTTTTTTAACAGTTGCATGTATTTAGTTAATTGGTACATTTGCCTGTATCATTTGCTATAGTCCTTACTTTAAAAAAATTACTTTTTTATGTTTATCTATTTTTTAACATTCTAAAATTTTCTTTTCTTTTTAATTTTTTGGTGTTGGGGATTGAACTCAGGACCTCCCTCACACTTGCCAGGCAGGCACTGTGCTGCTGAGCTACATCTCCAGCCCTAATTTTCAGTACTATTAAATTCATTTCACAAATCAAGATAATTTTTGAAAAATTAAATCACATTTTGAGCAAAATGTGACTGCCTAATTAGCATACTGACCTTTAGTTAGCCCACAATTTCTGCCTTTAATTTGGGAATGATCTTACTTTATCTGTATTGGTAATTTTAGAGATTAGCAGGCAGTGGCTTTGTTATTTATATTAACTATCTGTTTGGGGATCAGGGGCTTAGTACTCCAAAATAATGAAATGTTTTAAAGACATTTTGATCTCTTTGAAAGTGGTATTTAATTATAAAAAAGCATATAGGTACAAAAGATGTATATTTTTTCCATAGGAGATGTACCCTTAAAGAACATCATTGATCCTAATTTCAGAGCATCCTGGATAGCACAAAAACTTCACTTGGCTAAAACACAATATATGGATGGAATTAATATTGACATAGAGCAAGAAGTTAAGTGTCCATCACCTGAATATGATGCATTAACGGCTTTGGTCGAAGAAACCACAGAGTCTTTCCATCATGAGATTGAGGGATCACAGGTAAAAACATTCATTTTTTTTCTTGGAAATTCTATATTTTCCCTATCAAAATGGTTTCATGAAGATATGCAATCTTAGATTTGCAGTAATGCAGTAGGAAAGAATTTCAGAACCTATGTCCTAAACACTTTTTATAAATTTTAATGTTATTATTTAAGGAGTTTTACGGTGCAAAATTTGTTCTCTATTCACATCAGAACACAACACTGAGATTACTCCACTGACTTGGCTTGCAACAGGGATACAAGTGTTAGGCAATGAAGGCAGGAAGAACATAGAGGGCCTGATTTTCACCAATCAGGTCAGAAATAACTCTTGCCTAAGAGTAGAGGTAGTTCTGTGGAATGTCTCACTTACCTCATGGTCTCTAAATTGCTTGCAGACCACTCAAGATCCAGTAAAGGTCAAAGGACTGATTCTGTAGAACCTGTTAGAGCTCTGACAGACGATAGACAGTGTGGTTTCTCATTGCCGTAATGAGCCTGATTATAGCAGATCACAGCATGACGCATCTTGCCAGGCAATGTGTAGGTAACAAAGGGTAGTGTGGTTCCAGATCATTGATTCTTAAACCAGGCCACATATCAACATGATAAGGGATCTCAGAAAGAATACATATACATGTGCATACACATAAACACTGAGGACTCATTTCCAAAAATTAAGAAGGTTTTTGATGAACCTAGAGTTCATAATTTTTAAAAATTCATAGATGATTATAATTAAGAACTACTAGTTTAGACAGTGAGTTTTCTTAAGGGTGGGACCAGATCCACAATGTTTAAAAATTATTTACTGAGTATATGAACGATTGCTGCCTTTAAAGAATTTTAAATATGGGTAAGTAGGACACACACACACACACCCTATACTTGCCCTTGGTATTCCATGGGAGATTGGTTCCAAGACCCCGTGTGAATACCAAAATCTGTAGATGTTCAAGTCCTGTACATAAAATGGCAAAGTATGCATGACCTCCTGTATACTCTAGATTACTTACAATACCTAATACAATGTAAATATTGTATAGTTTCTGTGCTGTTTAATGAATAAAGACAAGAAAAGTATGTACATGTTCAGTGCAGACACAGTTTTAAAAATATTTTATCTAAATATATATAAGATTGATGAATATTACATTTACATATAGTATTCATTCTAAGATACAGGATTATAAATACAACCAGTGATTCCTAAACCTGTCTCAGAATCACATGGGAGTATTTGTTTAAAATTTCTTAAAATTGATTCAGTAGGTCTGGGATAGAGCATAGGGAACTGCAATTTTGTCAAGTGCTGTAGGTGTTGTATAGTTGATCATCATAAATAATGATGGGAGGACTCACATCTGTATGGTTTTATGCAAATAGGGAAGGGTTGTAGGTATGGAATGCAATCCCAGCACGCTGGGAGGCTGAGGCAGGAAGATTGCCAGTTTGAGCCTAGTTAGGGGAATTTAGCAATTTAGCAAGACCTTGTGTCAAAATACAAAATAAAGAGCTGGGGATTTAGCTCAGTGGCACTGCACCTGCCTCGCAAGCGCAAGGTCCTGAGTTCGATCCCTAGTACCGAATTTAAAAAAACAAAAAAGGGATGGGGATATAGCTTAGGATGATATCTGGGCATTCAATCTCCAGGACCACAAAAAACAACAAAAGCTAAAGGAGTATCTATTTTCATGTTTGAAGGGTGAGTAGAATAATTTGGGCTACTGTGTCACATTTAATATTAGGTAAATAAGTAGGGGGCACAGTTGCAAAACTAGTTGAGATTGTGGAAAATACAGAATATCAATCAGACTGGGGAATATGCATTTTATCCTGTATGTAATGGTTTACATGGTTAGACTCGGAAATGTGGGCGTTTGGGAGATTATTCAGTAGTATGTAAAGCTAGAGGAGAAAGGAAGACTACTAAGTCCTTACCCAACATCCCAGTAACTAGATATTTATAGTTTGAATTAGGATCATGGCATAGCCCTAACACTCAGGAAGTGTTCAATAAATATTTGTTGAATTAGTTAACAGAAAGGAAGGAGCAAAACAACTGTGAGAGGACACTCAAAGGAAACTGTGAGATTAGATTTGGGGTACAAGGGAAGGAAAGAATCAGAAAACGGCCTAAGATTTTTAAACTGGTAGCTAGAAAAAAGTGACAAAAATAGAAAATCTGGAGCAGGAAATGAGTTTTTGGGAAAAGTTGATGATTTAAGTTTACAAAATTATAGTCAGAGAATTAAGGAGTTAGAAATGCCCTTGAAGGGTTCTTTCTGTACTCTTATTTTCATAGATTGGAAAACAGATCCAAATGCCTTAAGTGACATAGCAGTGATGTAAACCAAGTTATAACAGAGCCAAGAATAGAACTCAAGTCTTTTGATTTTTTTTTGTCTAATATACTAATACTACTATCTTAAAAATATTAACTTAATATTAACTTAAAAGATTAACTATGATAGGAAATTCAGGTGAAAATACTTTTAGCATTCAGGAGATAGGTATGGAATAACAAAATGGATTTGAAATTTATCTGCTTAGAGATTGTCACTTAATTTCTCTGTTACTAGCTTCCATTTTGATACATGGGATTAGATAGGTCTAATATGTAAGAATTTCACTTCATAACCTATTTTGACATAGAACCCATCTGACGTGTGTTTGGTCATTTTTCATAAAATTGTATGTGTTTTTCCACAGGTAACATTTGATGTAGCTTGGTCTATACAGCATAGACAGAAGGTAGAACTATTGAGGAAAGCTCATAAAGCTGAGCCTTCTTTAATGCCAGTAGTGGAAAAATTACGGAGAGAACTTGGAAAAAGTCCTAAAAATAGAGTTTTGCGAAGATAAATTGGCCAAAGAGTAAACATTTTACCTAAAGTGTCTCATTTTTGGTAACTAATCAAGGAGTGTTTATCAAATGCCTAATTAAGGAAAAAACCCTTTAACGACAGTTTAGAACATTTCTACACATTAAAATAAGGCTTGTTAATGTTTAGTTAAGGCAATAAAAGTATTTTTAAGAGACTCATTTGTGTTGAATTCTGGTGCACCATTCAAAGTGAAAGATAATATATTACTTGAGTTTTAACATTTCCACAAAAAAGACCATTTAAAGGATTTATTCAACGTCTTAAGTAGATTAATTACTGTGGTCCATAACACACCAGTTTTCTAACTGTAATACTGGGCTAAGCCTACCATGTAGTATAATTGTGAATCAGAGGCTCATTTAACCCAGTCAGGCTGTGACAACAGGAAACTTAGTAACCTGCACAGATCTTTAACGACTTTTGTATTTGAATTCTTTTAGAGTGCCTCTACTTTCCAGTTGTTCAGGGCCCCACCACACAGCTGTCATTATGCCTACTTCTTTCAGTCAATTGAGTTGCCAGCTCAGCCTCTGAAGACATTTGGGTTTCAACCCCCTTCTTTTGTACATACAGTGTCTAAATACATGCCTCAGACAGTCCAGTGTAGTGAAAAGCAAATTTCTTAGAACTGTTCTAGTTCTATCTGTGTCAGACTTTACATTCATATGCTACAAGCTTTTTTCTTGAGTAGTATGAGGCAAAAGAATATATAGAAAACCCATCTGATATAATATGCGTATTTGATCGTGTTACATAAAATTACATATTTTCCCACAGGTAACTTTTGATGTAGCTTGGTCTCCAAAGAACATAGACAGAAGATGCTATAATTATACTGGAATTGCAGATGCTTGTGACTTTCTCTTTGTGATGTCTTACGATGAACAAAGTCAGATCTGGTCAGAATGTATTGCAGCAGCCAATGCTCCCTATAATCAGACATTATCTGGTAAGAATTCACAAAATGATCTTTCATTAATAATATTAATTTCAGAACCTCAAACATCCAAGATTTTAACATTTTTATGTTATTTTTATACCTTTTCCATTTGTGTAGCTTACTTTAAACATCTAAAAATCAGTGAATTTGGAGAGTTTTAATGTTTACAAAAAGTTTGAAGTTTTCATTTAATTCTTTTAACAACCACATGGGATAGGTATGTTATCATTAACCCTCTTCTATATCAGAGATGAAAGGAATTAAGTGATCAGGTTTGCACAATTATATAGTAGGACTCAAAAAAGATAATTTTAACTTCAAGTACAGCACTGTTGTCATATCATATGAAAAAAATTATCTAGAATTCAACAAGATATTTTTGTTAAAATAATTAATGTTAAATACTTCAATAGCAAAGATAATTTTTTTGTGTGTGTGTGGTACTGGGGATCGAACTCGGGACCTTGTGCTTGCGAGGCAGGCACCAGAACCACTGAGCTAAATCCCCGGCCCAGCAAAGATAATTTTAATATGGGTATCTACCAAACATGAATAGCAGGGTTGGCTTTATTTTATTTAATATTAGTTCTTATATTAAAAATTATATTCCTATTAGAATTAAGAGTACTTCTGGCTTGTCATCATATGATGTGGTCTTTGCATTCAAGTTTGGATTAGTTTGTATCTTATCAATTAAATAAAAGATTGGTTGCTATCTTTTAGACTCAACTGAAATTTCTGAGACAGCTGGTATTGATTCAATTAACTGATTTATAAATAATTTTTTTTTCATACAGAGGTAAAAATATTAGAATCTGGCTTCATTTTATGACATCCCAATTGTTTGGATAAAATAGTCTGGTCATGAACGTACACTATTTAAATGTGAAAAATAATATTCTATTAAAGTTACAAAATTAATTCTGAGTTCTCAAACTGTTTAATTAGGAGATAGTACTGTGTTATTTTAAAAGGTTCATTATCAAATATGTTGGGGAAATGAAGCATACTCTCCCCATTGTTTGGATTTTAACAGTGCAGAATAGTATTAAAGACTCTGCAAACCAATAAACTTATTTAACTCAATAGTCAAGATAACTTAGGAGTATCTCTTTTGGTAGGAAAAACATGTTTTGTAGCTCTGAGCAAAGAAAAAATTGATAGTACCAGAATTTGTTCATTTTTATCTGTATCCTACAAGATATTTCCATTACCTACTATGGAATAAGAAAGGATATTTCTTATCCACAGCTATCATTAGGATACTAATAGGTTATCTTTAAAACATGAAGCACCATGTGCTTTCTATTACAAATTCTGATTGCATCACTGCAGGAAAGTTTAACATTTATAGAACTTTTTTGAAACTTTAGACTCTAGATATTAAATATATCATGTCTTAGCAGCTAATAAAATTAATGTGCTTTCCTAAAATGTTATTTTTCCTAGGATTAATTTTTTATGAATTTTGTTTATGTATAATTTAAATTTTTTTAATGAAAAAAGTGGTTTAGAAAGCAAGATATGAGGTTTGTAATTCTTTTCTTTTTTTTTTTTTGGTACTGGGGGTCAAACTTGGGTCCTTGTGTTGTGGGGCAGGCGGTGGAACTACTGAGCTAAATCCCTGGCCCTGGGGTTTATAGTTCTTAAGGGATGACTTTTATAATACTATATTAGAGAAACTGAGTATTTTGTATAAATGTACATGTTTTCACAAACTTAGATTCTGAGTAGTTGCATAGCTTGTATGAACACATTTACAGATATATGAAGAGAAAAATATGTTTTTATATCCTTACTTACCCAGGATATAGTGACTACATCAAGATGGGCATTGACCCTAAGAAACTTGTAATGGGTGTTCCTTGGTATGGTTATGATTATCACTGCCTGAACTTATCTGAGGTAAGAATAGGTCATTTGTCACGTAATTTTCTCCCCCTTTATATATTTTTAAATCTTCTTTTATTTCATTGGGAATGTATACATTTTATTTAGGATTTATGAAATGTAGCTTGAGACTAAAATTTTTATTTATTTTTAATTAGTCCAGTAGAAGCTTTTTTTTTTTTTTTTGGTACCGGAAATTGAACTCAGGTCCTTGTGGTTGCAAGGCAGGTGCCGGAACCACTGAGCTAAATCCCCAGCTCTAGTCCAGTAGAAGCTTTTGAATGTTATACATTTAATTTAATAATAAAATTTATTTAGCTTTTCTTCTGCATAATCAGATTATCTTTTTGTAGCATATATTTTATTTCTAACAAAGTTTTTTATAATGTTTTTTATTTGGCTCTTATGATGTGCTTGGTAATATATAACATGAACATTTTTGCATTTCCAGGATCATGTTTGTACCATTGCAAAAGTCCCTTTCCGGGGGGCTCCTTGTAGTGATGCTGCAGGACGACAAGTGCCCTATAAAACAATCATGAAGCAAATAAATAGTTCTGTTTCTGGAAGCCAGTGGAATAAAGATCAGCAGGCTCCTTATTATAATTATAAAGTAAGAATTTCCACAAAAATTATGAACATTTATTTTGTTAGTTTTCATAACTCTGTATTTTCATAATTAGATATTTTGTATAAAGAGTTTCTGTCAGTTTTCTTTTAGGGCATAACATACAGACTGCTGTTTACATGAGTAAATTGTCTTTTAATCTGTATAATCAGGAACTTTAGTTCCCTGGGGAGCAATTCAAATAATGCTAATTCAAGTACAATACTCTGCTTGGGCCACTTCATTTTAGATGATGCTATAAAAACATATACATCACAAACAGGACTTCCTTAATAGTTGACAATTAGGTTATGATGATTTGCTCTGAATGGGCTTTGGGCCAAAATAGGTTATCAGCTCTAAAGGCCTCCATTTCAAAATACCCTGAAGATTCTGGTGAGCTCTTGGACAGGGAGGAATGAGGTTGAGAACAGATGAATCATCACTCATTTTACAATGAAAAACTATCATTTCAAAATTATTTCATAATTAAAACAAATAATGTTAAAAATAGGAGACATAAAAATATAGAAGGAAACCTGAGGAAATACAGTAAAGAATTAGCAATTCTGATTGGTAGTGTTGAATAAACAGGAGCCGGGGATTTAGCTCAGTGGTTCTGCTGCCTGCCTCAAAATCACAAGGTCCTGAGTTCTATCCTGGGTACCAAAAACCCCCCAAAAAACAGGAATTGAAGCAAAAGAGACAAATATTTTTCATAGTTCACCTTTAGCATAATTACAACTTTTCATACCTCAGAAATCTAAGTATAATCTTTGACTTTGCTTTAAATTAGGTAACTTTAAAAGGAATCATGAAATGATATAAATTAATTTGAGGAAGATTTATATTCTTGACTAGTGATCCAATACTCATTTATAAAAAATGAATGCAAACATACTACTATATAAAAACCATAATATATGTTTATTTGCCTATATGTTACTTACATAGTAAGCTTTAGTGTGAGCTTTCTAAACTTCAGAATTGAAACTAACTAGAATGTTCTGGAACTGTTAATATTACATACATGCAAACATGTGTACAAATATACACACATGTGCCACATCCAAGTGTATTTAGAAAACACTATATAATGTATGTCCCTCTTGGAGATTTCTAATATGCAACACTACATTAAAGGATTTGAGAAGTGCTGCAATATATAAAGCCATTTAGTTAACAAAGAACCTATTTCACAGCACTCTTAGAAACAGAGAGTACAGTATTTCATGGATATGGTTTGGTAAAGGTTATGATGGCCAACTCATATAATTTAGAAATATTTAATATGAAATAATAATGTACACTAGGATGTACTGTTTTTAATAATCTTATTTTTTCCTTGAGTGAGAAGATGAAGGAACAAATTAATTTTTTAAAGAAAAAAATTGTAATTAACAAGAAAAATTGTATATATTTATGGTGTACAAATAATGTTTTGAAATATACATTATAGAATGTCTAACTCAAGGTATTTAGCATATGCATTACTTTACATACTTATTATTTATGGTGACAACACTTAAAATCTACTCTCAGCCATTTTCAAATATACAATACATTGCTTTTTACTATAGTCGTAATGGTATACTAGATCTCTTGAACGTATTCCTCCTAACTGAAATGCTGTGTCCTTTGACCAACATCTCCTATTTTCCCTACTCATAACCTCAGATAACCACCATTTCAGTCTTACTAATATGAGGGAACGTGTCCTTTCTCAAGAGTTAAGTATGCATATTTTATTTCCTAGACAAATCACTTTTAAAGATATATATATATATATATATTTTTTTTTTTTGTAGCGGGGATCGAACTTGGGTCCTTGTGCTTGCGGGGCAGGCGGCGAAACCACTGAGCTAAATCCCTGGCCCTAGATATATATATTTTTTATTAACATGTATTAATTGTATATATTAATGAGTTTCAGTGTGCTGTTTCAAGACATGAATAGTGTGCACTGATCAAATCAGGATAAGCAGCATTTCTCTCCTGTTTGGGGCACTTTAGCTCATCTTTTCTAGATCTTCCTAAAATATGTTATTATAAACTATTGTTATCTCTTTCTGCTGTGGAACATCAAAACTTATTCCTTCTACTCACTTTTTTTGTGGTCACAGAATGAGGAAACATTTTGGGGAGCCTTGAAGGACATTTAATGATACTTTAGAAAACAATGTAGATATAACTGTTTTGTTCCTCTGATTTATCCATTGTAAAATTCCTGAGTAACCAAAATCAAGTTTCTCTTGTGTTTGAAGAGAGTCCTCTGCCTTCGTATGCTGTTTCACCAACAGTAGCTTTATCTTGGACTCAATACTTTGGAAGGTATTAGGTACACCTTAACCATGCCTAAATCAGTATTTACCCATTAATTCTTCACTATTTAGAGATACTTGAAAATTTCATAACTATCACAAAAGCTCAAACAATATCTACCTTTCTAACAATATCTATCTTTCTAACAGTATCTCAAAAGCTAGAATGATAGCAGATGGAGTGTGGCTTTGTTCCATACTCTTAAAAAGTCATTCATATTTATGTAGAAGTGCTATAAGTTGGCTTTTAAAAGTGAGATTACAATAGTTAATAGAGCATGCATAGCTTTATGTATCTTTAAAAATGTTAAATAATAGAATACTGATATAGGGTGAGATATGCTCATATGTAATTTATTTACTACATTTAAATATGCCACAGCTTATTCATTTACCAATAACTATTGTTCTCACTCTGGTAGGGCTATCATAAATAAACATATAAATGGCTTTCATTCAGAATTGCCTTTAAGAAGTTTCCCAGATGTGTATAAAAATTAGTAAATTATATTTAGCCACAGGTCTTTCTGTTTCTACCTCCTATATTTTTTTTGTATTTCCTTTACTTTTTTGCCTAGATATGCTCTGTCCTTGATCCTTTAACCAGTAGCTGGAGTGCTTACTGACAGAGATGTGTACAGGATAGAAGCTGCATATAAGAGAACCTAGTTTATAGTTCTTATTCAGGTATAACCGTGTTAATCACCGTGTTAATCAACTCTAACAGCCTCTTAGAATCATGTCTATAACACCTAGAAAAGGAAGTACTTTCCTCCTTCATGTCATTACCTTTTGATTTGGCTGATTTATTGTAAACAAAATCATCTGTTCAGGTCCTAGCTAGGCACACTTCCAGGAACTATAGAACAAACAAGAAAAGTATAGAAGCTGATTTTAGCAGACCAGAGCAGTGATTTCTTCTTACCTTTGGCTGCATATCAGAGTTACCAAATGGAATGAACACAAAACAAACAACAAACATATGACCTAGCATCAACCCTAGAGGGTTTTATGTGGTATAGTGTCTAGGAATCTGTATTTTTCAAGCTCTACAATGATTCAGATGTACATCTTGGTTGAGAATTATTGCAACAGATCAAGGAAAGAATCTTAGGACATGAGAAAGGCCATAAATAGAATACATCAGGGAGTTCATTTCTGTAATATTTATTGTTAGAAGTACCATAAACAATATTTAGAATGTATAAAATCATGGAATAATAGAGCAGGAAAATATTGTGCTATAAAATTTTTACTTTTTCATTGTATCTTTTGGAATTATCCTATTGGAATTAAACTTTTTCTCCTCTTACTGTACTTTAGATTTCTATTTTAATTTATTTTTATAGGATCCTGCTGGCCATTTTCATCAAGTGTGGTATGATAACCCTCAGAGCATTTCTTTAAAGGCAGCATATATACAAAACTATGGCTTACGGGGCATTGGTATGTGGAATGCAGACTGTCTTGACTACTCTGGAGATGCTGTAGCCAAACAGCAAACTGAAGAAATGTGGAAAGTCTTAAAGCCAAAAAGCTGTGACAGAGATGAAGATCTTTTGTCAAACTACTAAGATATAGAAAATTGATCTGTATAAGTCCAGTACAGTATCTTGAAGAGATAAACAATAAATTTTTGTCATGTTGCTATATATTTTAGTATTCTCAAAAAAGATAAAATATAAGTGCTTTGATTGATTTTGAAAAATCATATTTTTATCAAAAATATCCAGGTACATACAGGCAAGAAACAAGTCAACATACTATATTAAATGTTCTGTAAGATTTTTGAACACTGTAATTAGGAAAATAATGCTTTCAAAATTTTATTATGCCAAATTTCCCCCTCTGCTATTAAAATATACCTTTACAAATCAATGATGATTAAAAAATGCCTGAAATGTAAATGGAAATTGTTGGTTTAGAAGAGATTGTTGTAAAACCTTGCCTTTGAGGGGCAATTTGGTTTATATTTTTTCCAATAAATCTTAAATTTGAACCCTGGAATTAATGTTTCTTCTTCAGGTTCACAAATTGGTGAGAATAGTTTTTCTACTTCCTGACTCCATTATAATATGTACTTGTGTTCTCTGAGGTACTTAACCTAAAATCACTTAAACCTCCAGGCAGTTAGTGAGAAAACAAAAGAAATACAAAGGATTAATTGTAGTCACAAAATACAAGATGATTTGGTAATATTCCAAATTAGTAAATTAGTGCTACCTAATATTTTCCAATTAAATTATTTAATGAGGTTTATCTGCAAACCTTTTTCTTTCTTTTTCTGGTACTGGGGATCAAACTCAGTACTTTGTGCTTGCAAGGCAGGCATGGGGCCACTGAGCTAAATCCCAGGCCCTATCTGCAGACTTTTTAACAATAGGAATAAATTGGTACTGAACTTGATTCTATTTACTGTCATTTACACTTCATTAATATTCCTTTGTTTATGAGCATTTATAATTTATTGGGAAGTTTTCATGATTAAATTTTCTTTTTTATATCTGCATTTTACTTTTAATTATCTAAAGACATTATTTTCTTAACTAGTTCTTTCTAAAAGATTAATTTTATGCAGAGAACTTTCATAAATGTAAAGAAGTCTGTTTTCTTTGTCAAGACAATTAACATTTTGCTGCACTTATACATATTAGTTCCTGTAAATACATAGATTAAAAATTTAAATCCTTGAACTCTAGATTTACATAAATCCAGTCTTTCCTGCACATTGTCCCCCATTTTAATAATGATTCAACCATGTTATGAGAATATTGTATTACCTATTTATGCAATTATGACAGAGTAATATTAACCATTCACATATTATGTGTGTGTATATTTTTATACACAAACACAAAATACATTATGCTTTAAAAATATAGATGTATATATACTTTTTATAAATATATATGTATATATACTTTTTAGTATATGTATATATACTTTTTATATATATACTTTTTTATATGTATGTATATGATACTGAGTTACATCTCCAGCCTCTTTTTGTTTTTTATTTTGAGACGAGATTTCTTTATGTTGCTAAGTTGCCCAGTTTGGGGTCAAACTTGTGGTCCTCTTGTCTCAGCCTCTTAAGGTGCTAGGATTATAGGCATGTAGCACCACACCTGCCTAGTATGTAACTGTATCTATTGAATTACTTTATCTTTCTAAAACATTCACCTTATAGTTCCAAATTATTTTTATTTATATTTATAAAATAAGTTGATAAAAATTTGAATTCTTAGATATTAATCTGTATCATAGAGTACATACAATTGTTTTTCATCAAGGTACAATGAACAAATTAACTTTATATTTTCATGCAAATATATTAGTATTTATTAAAACAATTTTTTCTTTGTTAAGAAATTTTACAATTATAGTGGCTCTTAAATTTTAAATTATTAGCAATAAAAAACTATAAAATATAACTATATCATAATAGGTAACAGACTTGAAATATTAAAAATAAATAGCCACTATTTTATGTTATATCTAATTATTTCCTCTAAAACATCTGTAATACCCACACTAAAAGTAAAGGCAGGTAAACTTTATGATTTATATAAAAGATAAACAAGGAGAATTGTCCAAATAAATATTTAAATTTTTCAACAAATAAGTTAAATTGACATACCTAAAAGAGATTGAAAAGATGGACTAATTTTCTTCTGTACCAGTTCAGTTTTCAGTGCTCGTAAATCTGAAACTGCTTGTTTTCTCATCTGTAAAAAGAATTACTTTTCAAAAATAACCTTCATCTCCTGCTTCCAAAAGTACATCGCATTGTCATTTTTTAAACTGCTTTTGTCTTCTCAGTTGCTTCCCGTGCCTTCATTCCCATGGATTACTAAAGCAAACTTACAGGCCATAAAGTCTGTTTAATAAGCATGCTTATCTAACCAGATGTTCTATGAGATACTTTCCTTTATTGATATGTAAGAACAATACATAAACTTACTTTATCAAATAAGTAAAGTATGGCCAGCACCCTTTATTAAGGGTCTACTATACAAAAAGTGCTATGGAGGGCTGGGGATTTAGCTCAGTGGCAAGCGCCCGGTCCTGAGTTCAATCCCCTGTACCAAAAAAAAAAAAAAGTGCTATGGGAGAAACAAAGTTAAATACAGGAGTCTCTACCCTGAAGAAAACTTAATATCTGGTAGATGACCATTGGTTCAAATTAAAAAACAAATAAAATATATATGAAAATAATCAGAAAGAATGAGATAATTACCCAGGAGAGGAGACAATATTAAGTGGTAGGGTACTTCAGAGGAGAACTCAGAGGTTTGTCAGACTTACTATGAATGACTAATACTGGAAAATTAAAATTATTGAAACTATACTGATTCACAGGGGCTTTTGCTTTTAATTGGGGTTTAAAATGTTACTAAATTCTCCACTGGACTTGTTATAACATGCATCATCACAGAATTTAGGTTTTCTTCTTGCTTTATTTTCATTCATGTTATTGTTAAAGTAATAATTTTAACTCAATCCTAACTACCCTTATACTATCAACAACCAAATCAAAATATTAAAATATTTTATTTCAAGATGAATTTATAATCTAATTAGGAGAAATATAAATTACCTTAACTTCTATTATGAGTTTCATTTTATCAGTATCCAGTTTTCTCTTAAGCTGGTCAATTGCATGTTGTACCTCAGTGATCTGGATTATAAGGTAATTCTGCGTGAGATATAGAAAGATACTTATTTAGTATAACATCTATATATTTTTATGGGAGGCATTCTGTGCCTCTTTCCAAACATAAATCATAAAGTGATAAATATTAAAACAACAAATCATAAAAATATTCTATTCCGTAAATAAACTCATTGCTTTGGTATTATTATAGTTTAGTTTTCTAAAATATACCTACAAAGTCTCTTGTGTTCAGAGATGGATGGGGCTTTTGGAAGGTAATTAAATCATGGTGGCTACTGGGGGATTAATCCACTGATGGGTTCATGGCTGAATGTTCTGTTCAGAGGTGGAGCCATACTAGAGGAGGTAGATTACTGGAAGTGTTTTTGGAGGGTATATCATTTTCTCTGACTCCTCTGCCCTCTTTCTGCTCCCTGCCTACCATGGTTTGAATAGCCTTCCTCCATCAAGCATTCCTTTGACCATGGAATTTCTTCCTTGGAGCCAGTTGACCATGGACTGAATCCTCTGAAACCAGGAACCAATATGAAATTCTCCTTTAATTTGTGGATGTCATATATTTTGTCCAGCAACAATAAGGCTGACTGTCTGATGCCACTGACTGACTGATACTACTTTTTACTGATTTCTTGAACTTAGGGACTACTTTATCATTACCCATTTATTATTTTTTAAAAAACAGATATATGTAAAAGTTACCATTAAATTAGTACCATAAAATCAGTAAATATTATTTTAAACTGAATAAACTAGGTTTAAGATATTATCGAGTTCAGGAATTGGCAAAATGCTTTATTAGTTGACTCTGACAGAATAATTTAAAAATATTTAATAATGTAACATTATATTTTGTACATTAAAATAAAGATTTTTTGAGTTACTTTTCTCCAGAAAAGTTTATGAGATATAGTGATCTTACTAAAGAAATTTTTTTCTTTTTTTGTGGGGATTGAATCTAGGCCCTCATGCATGTTAGGCAAGCACTCTACCTACATCCCCAGCACAAGAAATTAAGAATTTTAAACTGTCTTTATGCAAAAATTGTTACATTGAACTTGACAAGACAATATGATAAAGTGTCAGTTATGCTTTAAAAAAATCAACTAATGTGGACAATTATTTGAGCTTATTTGGATGTTACATTTAACAAAAACAGTAAATTTTTAATATTTCACCATGTCTGAAGTTAAACCTTTACTCAATCATAATTAACATATTTTTAAAATGTTTTAGATAGTAGGATCAACCTAATAAAAATCAAACTGGAATTGTTTTTGTCTTGTTTACTATATGGTGGAATTAATAATGAAATAAACTGATCTAAGATTCAAGAAAAAATAAATTGATCAAAATTTCTTTAGAACATCAGTACCTTTAAATTCTGTGGGCATTATATTCCCTAACCTCCTAAAACAAAGGACTGCAGTGGACATGTTTAACCCCCTACCCTACTTCATCAGGTGTTTATCTCTTTGTCAGAGTCCGGATATGTGGCCCTATCCTCACACACTGAGGTAGGACGGGGATAAATGTCCACTACATACTTTTTTAGTATTATGAAGTCTAAAATTCTAATCGAAGTGCATAGCATTCCTCGGCAATTATCATTGGTCCAGTGTTAGGTCTGGTTGACCCCTTAGACAGCTAGAGGTTTGTATATTCCATGATTCAAGGAAAAGCTTCTCTCATTTTGGAGATACATAGCCCTGCTTGCCAGTGGTAACTCTAGAGCTACTATGAGAAAACACAGCCTTGTAATGAAGCCAACACTAAAAATAATAGGAAATACAGAATGTACTAAGGCCTTTAAAGACATCATTAAGCTGTGACTATCTCCTCAGCAGTCCTTCCATTATATGAGGTCAGGAATTTTGTAACAGTCTAGGAAAATTTAGGTCAATCTTTTGTTTCCTGTACCCCAAAGCAACCTGAATATGATAACACTAACAATTATTAAGCATGTAATTTTAACAGAACTTTTCTAGCAGAAGGGAAAACACATTTAGTAGGACCTTGGAGTCTGCAATGTTTGCCACATTCTTTGGTTTCATTTTGATCTCCCTGGCTTCCAGTTGCGTAAGCAATTTTTTATAGTAAAGTTCCAAATCTTCTCGAAGTTTTGTTAAAACCTCCTCCAATGATGCTGTGATTTTCTTTGTTTCAAAGTATTTTTTCTTCCAACCATCACAACCTACAAAAAACCAAAATACAAACAAATAAACAAATAACCAAAGGCCAGGTTGAGCATGGTTAAAGGATTAAAACTATCAATGTGGAAAGAACCCTGAGTTAATTTCAATTTAAACCATTTTTCTCCTTCTCTCCTCTTCTCTATCTCCTAAGTCCTTAAATACATTTCAGCTAATGGAGTAATTTTTATTGGATAATAAAAGAAATCATCAAGAAAAATAGTAAAATACATCCAGAAACCACAACCAAGTTCTCATTTAAACATGTAAAATTATTTCTAAACCTATACAAAAGTGTATAATACAGTTATTTTGGTTACCTTTTTCCATAGTCTTATTTGAAATAAGTATTTATAGAATTAAAATCAAAATTAAAAGACATGATGAATTTTAAAAATATGTTCAGCCTCCATAACAACTTAGGTTCTGTGAAATCAGCTAATTTGTATTATTTATCAAAATTATTCTGAATATTTCCCCAAAATTCTGTTAAGGCAGAATTTCTAAAAACTGAGCATCTTTGTTGAGAAAAATTAGAAATTAAATGTTGCCAGATGAGGATATCACTTTGACACCAATGAGATTCTAAATACAAATTTAACAAGACCACAATCTACATACCAGTACACAAGAAAGTTATGTTTATTTCTTCTAGATTATCATGGAAATTAAAACTGCAGATTTAAAAATTCTACATAATTATGTGATTTGATGACAGTTTTATAGCTATATGGATCTTTAGCTCAAGATTTTAGTTACTTAGTTTTACCCAGGCATTGTCACCCAATCTGTCAGCAATTTCTACTGGTAATAGTACTGGCAGATCAGTTCCAGCATGTAGCATATTCCACATTTTTCAATGCTATGTCTCAAGCCAATACACTATCATCTTTAATCAAGAAAACTTCAGTCTTCCTAATTGGTCTCTTTGTTTTAAATTCTTGCCCTTTTAAGGCTACAGCATTCATTCTCATTTTTCCAAAACAAATTTTTTTCAGTGCTAGGGCTTGAACCTGTGGCCTCACACATGTAAGGCAAGTACTATACCTCTGAGCTACACCACTCCAAAAATATACTGTGTCCATTTTTTGTTGTAGGCCTTCTATAATTCAAAAATTTTAAATATATTTTAAATTATGTAGATCTTGAGCTTAAAATTCTCCAATGACTTCCCATCTTACTTAGAATAACATACAAACTCCTTGACTTGCCTCCTTGCTGACCTTTCTGATTTTCTCTCCTCTACACTCCTTGTTAATCATGCTCCAGCCACACTGGCCTTATTTCAGGCCCTTGATACCACAAGATCATTCTTGACATTTAGTGTTCCTTCTATTCAGATTGCTTTCCCCCTATTTCTTTATATACCAACCTCCTTATTAATCAAATATTCATGATGTCTCTTTAGTAATGCCTTCCCTGAAACCCTAGCTAAACCATCTCTCGTATGTGGCATCACTCTTTACTATGTTTTTTAATAAACTGGCTTCTCAACTCTCATCAGTAGCTAATATTGTTTTAGTTATTTGTTTATTATCTGTCTCCTCTCATTTGGAAGCAAGCAACTTAAAAGCAGGCCCAGGTCTGTTTTGTCACTGCTGTATCCTCAGCTTTTAAAGCAAGGCCTGGCACACAGCATGTTCATTAAATATTTGGTAGTTGATACATGCTTTTTATCTTGAACGACTCCTTTTAAAGTAGAAAGTGACTGACCATTCCCATTTTATATAAAGAAAGAGTGAGAGGCACAAAGAGGAAAAATAACTTGCCTAAGTAAAAGACCCATCTGGTGTTAGAATTCAGGTCCCATGATTTCTAGTCCATTGTTCAAATTTGTCTGATAAAATTGCTCTTTTAACATTATGACAAGGCTGAGTCACGCCATCATTTCCAGGATAATAATTTAATATTATGATGCTGCATCTTTCAAATATCTCCTGACATTGTCTATCTTCAAATACTAAAATAACAATTTTGCTGTAAATTGAAAAGCCTAAAGCCAAATTTCTTTATTACAATACCCCAAGCCTTTTAGCTTTATAATCTTTAAACATAATACAAAGTGCAAGACTCTCAAACTATTTTGACATCTCTAAAACTATTATCCTATACTTTCTGTACCCTTTCCATTTCTGAGTCCTAACAACATTGTTTCTAATTGCATTGCAAGAAAATGACTTACTTTTCCTAATTTCCCTCATTCATGCAATTTAGCAAGGCAGACAGACAAACATTATCCCCAAATTAATCACCTAGAGAAGTCCAAGGGACTCAAAGATGGTTGCTAATGTGGTATCTAAGCAAATTGTAAAATGACTGCTTCCTACAAGAAAAGAGTAAGAAGAGAAGGTAAGGAAAAAGAAGTACTTGACAATGGATGCAATCCCAGCACTCCAGTTGGCTGAAGCAGGAGGACTGCAACTTAGGAACTTGGTGAGCCCCTGTCTCAAAATAAAAATTAAAAAGGACTTGAGGGTAGCTCAGTGCCAAGGCCCTGAGTTTAATCCCAGTACCCCTCACTCCCCCAAAAAAGTAGATGGCAGAAGGAAAAGCATGCCGAAGACCTGGAGACAGGAAGCATCTTTCATATCCCATCATATGCAACACTTCCTACAAGCCTCTCTTAGCCTCCTCAATCTAACTTAGGTGTTTTTCCTTTGTATTCCTATTCATAGAATTTTGTAATTCCTTTATAATAGCATTCAATAGGAGGTATCATGAATGCTTAACTTCATTATCCCCACTGGACCAAAAGATCTATTAATGGGACGGACAAGATTGGGTCTTCCTTTTAGTGTCTCTTCAACCTCTAGAACAGTGAGTAGATTCAGTAGGCATTTAATAAATACTTATTTAATGAATGAAAGAATGAATAAACAAATGAATTTGAGTTATAAAAATATCTGAGTTTTAATTACAAAACTGATGAATTTATTGTTTAAAAGAGTTGAATAATGATTTTGTGGTTTTTATACTGATTTACTTCATGTGTCACTTAAACATTATAGTAAGACAGCAAATATTAATTACAACTTTATTGTTTATTCTCAAAGTATCAATTCCGTAACATTTGAGTTTTCTTTATAGTGACAAAATCAACATAATAAATTTCACCTTGATATCTCTTCAATTTGTTCTGTTCAAATAGCTTTTCAGCTTTTTTTATTAGTTCTTCTGTAATTCTTTCCAGATATCTTCTTTCTTCCTTTATTTGTTTCATTTGTTCAATAATTTTTTCTCCTGAAGATATTATAACACATACTCATCAATGCTGAAAATCTAAAAGATGGTTCACATACTAAAAGATGGACTGTAAAACTTAAGAGTCCAAAATAGCATAATATATTTTGCCTAAGACTTGTTCTCCTTGCTGCACTTCCCATTATGGAGAATGTGGAGGAATTAGTAATTGGACTTCTACATAGCGTCCCTTTGCATTTACATACATGTGTAGAAACTAGGTAAAGCTCAAGTAGTTATGCTTATATTTTTTGGTTTATTTCTTTTGGCAAATTTATCTTGGGCCCAAAGCTGTACTTAAATTTTACATAGAAAGTGTGTATTTTAGAGTAAGATCATGACACACAGTATATTAACCATTGTTATTCTCTCATTATTTTGTTATGAAATGTTTTATTTTTTCATAGAAGAAAAGTGTTTTTATATTTTCTTCATTAATATTTATTTGTATTACCTTAAGATAAAAAATAAAATATTTCTTGACTCAGTAAATTATATTAATGAGTAAATATATGCAATAATGAACACAAAATTCATGCTTTTACAGTAAAATATACATAACAAAATGTACTATTTTAGCCATTTTGAAGTATATAGCTCAGTGACATTGATTAAATATATGTTGTTGAGCAACAGCATAATGATTTCTGTCTCCAGAAATTTTTGATCTTCTCAAATTGAAACTCTGTGTCCATTAGACAATAATTCCCCATTAATATATCTAACCTTACCCCACAGACTCATTTATACTTACGATCTCACAATACCTACTCTCACTTTGTAATAAAGAGATATCTGTTACTCCTGAGGAAAGAACAGGTTGTCGTTGACAAGGAAGTGAAGGGAAATCAATAAGGTCTAGCAAAAGGACATGCTCCTTTTCACCTATCTATAAGAAAGCATAAAAATCAATAAGATCTGTTAGACTACAGATTCTTTCTTCATTTTTCTGTAATTATTTGATAATGTATAACAGCAATCCATATTTTTTTCTCTTATGTACTTTTTTTCCCATTAAGTTTATTGGTACATTTTAGGTATAAAATACAGTTACATTCATCATTGGGATCTTGTACCTTTACA